CAAAGCCATCAACACAACTTACCCCCAAGGGATGGTGCTGAGGATTATTCAATGCTGATGGGTAAAATAATTTTTAAGTTAGATCTGGATTTAAATTCTGGCTCTGTTGCTTAACTTGGACAAGATACTCAACCTTTGTTAAGCTGTTTCCTTCTGTGTGAAATGGAAATTCAAGTGTGTGCATAACAAGGTTATTGGGACAATTAAACACATGTAACACGTTTAGTACAGTGCCTAGTATACAGTAAGGGATTGATAAATGTGAGTTGTTATCAAAATCACAGTAATTACTATTATAAAAGGCAGCACTTAATAAATGTTGGTGTGGCCATCTTCTCTACCCCAGACTACTACTAATGAGAAATATCCAAGAATTGGACTGGGTCAAGGTTAAGGCATAACTTTACAGGTAGCACCATACTGTTTACCAAAAGGATTGTATTCCACTTACAATTGTTATTATTATTATTATGCCACTAACAAGATGCTGAATCTATCCATTTCATGCCTACCTTCACCAACAGTTTTTTCCTGTTATTTTTAAAAGTGGTATTTTGATATTACTTCCATTTGCATTTCTTTATCACTGTGAGGATGAACATTTTCCCATAATGTTTTGTTTACTGTTGCGACATCTTCAAGCATGAACAACTTATTTTTATCTTTTGCCTGTTTATCAGTTTGAATCTTAGTGTTTTTCTTCAGTATTTGAATAAACTCTTTATCAGGAACATAAATAATATTTAATGCAAATACTTTCCCACTAAGCTGGGGCCAGAGAGATCTGATACCGATGAGGGAAGAACAGGGGCAGTTCTGTGTGTTCAGGACCATGTCTATGGGTGGGGCTATTGGGTCTCACACAATGAATTCAACTACTCTCTTGCCTTTAACATCCACCTCTGGGCATCTCTGGCCCCGCATGACACTGTGGTTCTATATTTCTGACTATAAGATACTTCTTAGTTGCTTTGTAGACACCTCAAGCCTATTATAGATATAAATGAACTCCTCAGTTGTGCCCCAACCAGCAAACCTGACAAACTTCTCCATTTGGTCCCTTATTGTTCTCGCCAAGATGTCTTTTTTTTTTTTTTTTAATGCTTATTTATTTTTTAGAGAGAGAGAGTGAGAGAGTATGCACGTGCACACAAGTGGGAGAGGGGCAGAGAGAGGGAGACAGAGGATCTGAAGCAGGCTCCTTGCTCTCAGCACAGAGCCCGACACGGGGTTCGAACTCACAAACCGTGAGATCACGACCTGAGCCAAAGTTGGACACGCAACCGACTGAGCCACCCAGGCGCCCCTGTTCTAGCCAAGATATCTTAAGACTCTATCTCAATTCAGATACTCTTCTTCCCCACCCATATTCCAAAGTTTGCATTAAGCCACTTCGCTTTTATGCAAGTCTGACATTAGTACCTGTTTTCACCAACCAAATGAAATCCAAAGAAGATTTGCACTTTTATGGAAAAAAGTAAAAAGCAAAAATAACATTTAGCACATGTTTCGCAGGGAGGCTTTGTGGAGGCCGCGCACCCCAAGTGGCGAGAGTGGCCCTGCCAAGCTCCTTCCCTGGGGAGCTACACTCAGCACACAAGCCGTGAGGTTTGGAACTGTGTGTGCGAGCGTCTGTGCTTTACCTTGACTTATTCTGGGCATCATTCATCAAGATGTGTCCTAAGGTTTCAGAAACACCTGAAAGAGGTTTTTTTGGGGGCTAGGAAAGCTCAAAATTTCTTCCGTATCAATTAATGGTAATTGCCTCTTTGTTTTATGCCACGTTGGATTATGAAGCTTTCACAGGAAATGCTTTCTTTTGGGATAGTGGGGAAAACCTGTAGAGCAAAAAGCCCTCCCAGAGTCTCTCAGACAGGCCTGTTGTACTGTCTCCTACATAATACTCTTGCATGATAAGTCACGTGTCCTGACTTTTGATTTGGAAAATATGATCACAAAATGAGCAGCGGCAGCCAAGCTGACATGTTATCTCAGGTCTTCTCTGCATGTCAGCATCTGCTACTAAAGCCACGCACGTGAGCTGGTGAGCAGCGCAAGGCCATCAGACTGCTACCCAGTGATGGGGATGTGATAGTGGGGTTCAGGAATTAACCAGCGGGAAAGAACGTACTAGAAATAATTGCCTTGAGCATTTGGCCCAAGTGTCCAATGTCCCTAAGTTATTTTTATTTTTATTTTATTTATTTTTTAGAGAGAGAGAGAGAGGGAGAGCACACAAGTGGAGGAGAGTGGCAGAGGGGGAGGGAGAGAGAGAGAGAGAGAGAGAGAGAGGAGAATCCCAAGCAGGCTCCATGCTCAGCACGGAGTCCGACTCAAGGCTCCATCCCACAACCCTGGGATCATGACCTGAGCTGAAATCAAGAGTTGAAGTGGTCCCTGGCTGGCTCAGTCGGTTAAGCGTCTGACTCTTGGTGTCTGCTCAGGTCATGATCTCACAGTTGGTGAGTTCAAGCCCCACATCAGGCTCTGTGCTGACAGCATGGAGCCTGCTTGGGATCCTCTCTTTCCCTCTCTCTCTGCCCCTCCCCTGCTTGTACTCTCTTTCAAAGTAAATAAACTTAAGAAAAAAAGTCAGACGCTCAACCGATTGAGCCACCCTGGTGCCCCCCTAAATCATTATTTAAAAAATTAATTCTTAATGTTTATTCATTTTTGAGAGACAAAGAGACCAAGCAGGAGAGGGGCAGAGAGAGAAGGAGACACAGAATCTGAAGCAGGTTCCAGGCTCTGAGCTGTCAGCACAGAGCCTGACGTGGGGCTCATGAAGTGGGAGATCATGATCATGGGCTCATGAGCCCAATGCGGGGTTCATGAACCCATGAACCAGGAGATCATGACCAGCCGAAATTGGATACTTAACCGACTGAGCCACCGAGGTGTACCCCCTAAGTTATTTTTATATTTTAATGATGCCATTTTAAAAATTATTGAGGTGATTATTTTTAATAGTTGAATAGTTACAGTACTGATCTTGTCTTAGCATTATGCCTTTTTCTGTTGATGCCCCAGTTAGGATATGAGTTTCATGCAGTCGGAAAAGGTGTTTCCGCCTTCCTTCTAAGGCCCAGCCCAATGGCCGTGCCACCTACCAATACTTCTAACTCCCCCCAAAGGCGGCTTCTATGGACACCATGAGCTACTATTGAGGAAACACAAGGCAAACATCAGGTCAAATATAAAAAGCCAAAATTCTCTTGAATGAAAATTAAAATACGTAATATTACTATTTCTTTTTTTTTTTTTTTTTTTTAATTTTTTTTTTCAACGTTTATTTATTTTTGGGACAGAGAGAGACAGAGCATGAAGGGGGGAGGGGCAGAGAGAGAGGGAGTCACAGAATCGGAAGCAGGCTCCAGGCTCTGAGCCATCAGCCCAGAGCCTGACGCGGGGCTCGAACTCACGGACCGCGAGATCGTGACCTGGCTGAAGTCGGACGCTTAACCGACTGCGCCACCCAGGCGCCCCGTAATATTACTATTTCTAAAACTACACGTCATGAGAAGCCATGAAGCATCCTCAGTGGATACTTCCTTCCCTCCTCTTGTTCCTTAATTCTCCCCTCAGTTCCCCCAACTATATACACTGGATCACTTAAGCCCCATCCTCTCGAGACAGGAAACACTTCCAAGGACACACCGCCAGCCCCCCAGTTCCTTAGTCCTTTTGGGAAATGTGTTGAAAACAAACTACATACAATTCTAAAGTCCTCCTTCCCCAGGCTGGGTGTGCCTGTGGATGGCGCACGTGCATATGAATGGGTGCACGCACGTGGATGTGTATGGGTGTGGACAGGCAATGAGGAAATGATGGAGCCTGTTTTTCTAAAGGCAGAATATGATGATGTGAAATACACATCCTCCAACTTCAAGAGATGTATCTACTAAAGAGCTGTGAAGACAGGGCTTTGGGTTCAGTGTATTCTAATTGCTTCTACAAAGACCAAGTAGGGTTTTCCTAGGTGAAGCGTATCTTTGGAGGTTTTTTTCCTGGGGGGGCGAGGGATGGGCACTGGAATCTTTGAAAGGAGGGGAAACCTAGAACCCACATCACCAAGAAGCTGCTCACAAACGAAACGGTTTGCCAAATTCCAATCAATGACACACTTTTTGGTCTGAGAGTGATGGCCCGAATTCCCTTCCAGGGTCAACCGGCGAAGGCCTTGGATGGGTCTATTCTAGAATCGGTGAGAAAGTCCTCGTATTCGTTCCAGGGCCTATCCGGCACTTTGTCAGCAGAAAAACGGGTTCATTTACATCCCAGGCAACGATCTCTCGATTTTATTCTCTGGTATCTAATCCCTCACCTGTAACACTGCATAGTAAGGTTAAGGGTGCAACTGCGCAGCACTACCGGCAAGGAGACCCACGCGTTGTGGCCACTCCGCGCGTCCCAATCCGAGGCCAGCTCACTCCACACAACTTGGCAAGTTGCTGGAGTTCCGGCCCTTGGGGTGGGACCACTTCGCCGCCGGGGAGATGCCATCTCTCCCAGGCGCCGCCGACTGTCGGCGAGGGCAGAGGGAGAGCGACACCGGCGAGGGCCGACCGCCTGCAGGACCGGTGTCAGAAAGCACGTGGGCGCGCGCCCGCCAGGACCTCGCGCCGCGCAGCGCCCCCGCCCCTTTTCGCCCGCCCAGCCGGCCTCCGCCCGCGGCGACCGCTCCGGGGACGTCCGAGCCCACCCCGCCCGGGCCCCCGCGGCCGCCCGCCGCCCACGTGTGCCGGCCGGGGCGGCTCGGCGGGACCCACTCGGAAAGAGAAACGCTCCGAAGGCCGTGCCCGCCCCGGAGACGCGCAGGCCAGCCCGCCCGGGACGCCCACGGCCCTCGCGGGAGAAACCGAGCTCCGCTTTCCCCCGCGGGGCGGCGCGCTCCCCCGGAGGCCCCGACAGGTGCGCCGCCCCAGACGCGCGCCCCCTCCGCGCGCGCCCGGGGCCCCCGCAAGGCCCGGGGAAAAGAGTGAGAGGAGTTGGCTGTGTACCTGATCCTGTCCTTGTCTGCCCTCTGTAGCTCCTCATTTCTTTCCAGCACCTGAAGGATCTTCCTGGCTTCTTCTTCATTTAAGAAACTGAAATCAAACCCCTGAGGAACCTTCGTCATTTTCTCTCTTGTGTGTGAACTGCACTTCAGCTCCTTGGCGCCTTCAGTTACGAGGGCATTTTTCAAGGTACAGAAGACCAGCTTCAGGAACCTGATCCCATAACCAATAAGAAGGCCGCCCCTTTGAAAATCTAAAACCACAAAGTGAGGGAACAGCCCACACCTACGGGGCTCAGGTCGACAACACCTTAATGACATGTTTCGCTCCACCTCTCCAACCGGGAAGCGAAAGGCACGGCTCCGCCGACAAGAGGGAACCAATCCCATTCCAAGGGGGCGGGGCCTCCCTCGTCTCCTCCCCCCCCCACCCGCAGCCTCGGCCTATCAGACTTAATCAAACTAACAATTCTCCACAAGGCCGCACCTAGAGGAGGCCCGAGCTGAAGGGTTGGCGCCAACGTGCTGTGTTTTCGCTGTTGCTCTTTGCTCTCAGAACTCGAGCTGGACTAGTTGAAGGGCTGAGAAAGAATGCGAATCACAGTTAATCCTCCTTTTCAAAGAGCCCATAGGAAGTAGAATTGCAGTAGGAGCTTTGGAACTGGCACAAGAGTTACCCTATTTGAAAGAAGGGCTGAGCTCAATGCCCTGGGGGCTGTGGCCTGACCAGGCCCAAGGGATAAATTTAGTTCCTGGAAATGAGTTCTTTGCCAAGCCTCCCTTCTCACAGACACCCCCAAGCCACCCTCCTACAAAAGTCATTGTCAGGCTTTAAGGAAAACAAGACAAAATAAAACAAAAAACTTTTACAACCGCAGAATGGTTTATGGTGACTTAGGAGAAGACAGCCCCGGGGCAAGGGTGATGAAAATCACCTGTCTGTAGTTTTCTGTAAGATTTGATCATCTTTTTTTTTTTTAATGTTTTTATTTATTTTTGAGACAGAGAAAGAGCATGAACAGGGGAGGAACAGAGACAGAGGGAGACACAGAATCTGAAGCAGGCTCCAGGCTCTGAGCTGTCAGCACAGAGCCCGATGCGGGGCCTGAACTCAAGGATCGTAAGATCAAGACCTGAGCCGAAGTCGGACGCTCAGCCGACTGAGCCACCCAGGCGCCCCAATTTGATCATCTTAATAATCTCAGAGAGGTGATTCAAGTGCCACTTTCAAACACCTAATCTCGGACTAAAGGGAAATGTAATCCTCTGAAACCACAGAAATAGCTTTCCTAGAAAGTATTATTCTGAGATATGGAAGTTTCCAAATGTATTCATGTATATATACGTTTTAAAAATTACTGGAGCCTGGGCGCAGGGTTGTAAGAAAGCCTGGCTCCAGGGGTCCCAAACAGACCAGATTTGGCCACTGGCCACTGACAGATTCCAAAGGCAGAGGAACTCGCAGTGGTGAAGTGAGGGATTTATTTCCATGAGACCAACACCAGGGAGACTGCAGACTGCCAGCGTCACAAAGACTGTTTCCAAAGTACTGGTACTTTCAAAGTACCAGATTCAGATAAGAAAAATGTGGGACAAAGATCATGGGTACATGCAGGTGGGCAGTAAAGGTCAGGTTGGTGATTGTCATGGGGTCAGCCACCTGTGGTCCAGCTAGCTCAGGGCGGACCTTAGTGCTTGAGAGGGTAGTTTAGGTCCCATGGGGGGATGCTTGGCCCTCAGGATCTTTTGCCTGAGTTAGGAGATAAACTGGGAAGAACTAATCAGGTCTTAATCAGTTAAAAAGTACAGACCGAGGACAAAATGGATGGAGGTGATTGAAGTCCTCTTTCATAATCAAGCCTTTCGCAGAAAACATGTTTCTTTCATCTTTCTGCCCAAAAGTAACTTTATCAGATCAATGTGACTGTCCCATAGCCTTCGTTTAATCGCATCTTGCATAGTGGTGAGGATTACTGACATTTAAAGTCTACTTCAGGGGCGCCTGGGTGGCACAGTCGGTTAAGCGTCCGACTTCAGCCAGGTCACGATTTCGCGGTCCGTGAGTTCGAGACCTGCGTCAGGCTCTGGGATGATGGCTCAGAGCCTGGAGCCTGTTTCCGATTCTGTGTCTCCCTCTCTCTCTGCCCCTCCCCCGTTCATGCTCTGTCTCTCTCTGTCCCAAAAATAAATAAACATTGAAAAAAAAATAAGTAAAATAAAGTCTACTTCCACACGTATCATCTCCTTTCGTGGCCAATAAACCCAATAACGATCTTGTATCTGTAACAAAAACGTAATGTCAAAATGACTTTACATTTTGGCCCCTGGGTCCTGTACTCACTTTGATCATTGTTAATTAAGACATGTCTAGGCAAGTAGCTGTTCAAATAGTTAACTTTACATGGGTGGCTGTTTGTTATTTCTATGAAGCAGCAGGAAACAATTGAGTTCATCAATTGGTACAACACATAGAACTTTTAAAATTGTGTGTGTGTGTGTGTGTGTGTGTGTGTGTGTGTTAGTAAATTGTACACCAATGTGGGGCTCAAACCCACAGCCCTGAGATCAAGAGTCATGCACTCCACCACCTGAGCCAGCCAGGCACCCCTCTAACATAGTCTCTGTGTTAATGATGGTAGATTAGGAGTGTGGTTTATATACGATGTCCATTTTTTCTACTCATTAATGTGTTCATTTATTCCACATACATATGGGACTTCTTCATGTGGGCACTGGTAGGCTTTTATCCTGCTCCTGGTGTATCAGCGAATTGATTTCAACTAACATGTAATGTCACTTCCTGTGTGAAGGCCGTTGTGCACTGTGAAGAAGATACTGTTATCTTTATGAAGTTTATAACACAGTGGGGGAGAGAACACAAACAGAAAAACAACTGCATAACAAAGAGGAACATAATACATGTATCAAGAAAGTTCCATTAGGGCACAGAAAGAGGTCAGTTCCAGCTGAGTGGATCAGGGGGAGGACGTGGTGTTTGGGTTGTAACATGAAGGGTCAGATTTCCGCAGAAAGAAATGGAGGGTGGTGGGAGGAGATGTGTGTCTACTCTAGACCAGGGATACAGTGCACCAAATAGCAGAATTACACTTCAGGAACCCGCTCATAATCCCTCATCTCTTCTAACGGCCAAAGTGAGCAAAATCTTGGGAGCTGGAGAATTCAGAGATTGGTAAATGATCTGTTTTGGCTACAGTAGGCATTCTAAATAAGGGTGATATTGGAGGCACAATAATGAATAAGAGGTTGAAAAACCCTGGGCTGGTGCATAGGACACTTAAAGAGTAAATAAGGCAGTGACTTGACTATGAATGCCGCGCTAAGGAATCTGGACTCCATTGCGTGGGCAATGATGAGTCAAGATAGGTTTTGAAGAACATTGGGGAGATGACTCTGGTAGCAGCAGATAAGAGGATGGTGGGAAGGACCCCAAGTTGCTGGAACACCGATGCAGGAGAAGAAGGGAAGATAACCTGAATGAAAGCCAGCGGAGGTGGGGATAGAAGAGGGCTGCAATCCAAAGGCATTGGTTGGACTTCGACCCTCGTTAGATACGAGGGTTAACAAAGGAGTCACAAAGATGATGCAAAGTTTCGAGAGAAGCGTCTGGAAGGAGAGTGGTCTCTTCGATGATAGGAGAAGCATAAGGTTTATAAAAATATCAGGAGTTCAGTTTTAAACATAAAGAGTTTGAAGTAATCTGCAGTTTGTCCACATGGAGATATTCAGCAAAAGTGAGAAACTTGAAACATGGATGGAGAAGTAGATTTGGAAGTCATCTGCTCAGAGGTGATTGCCAAAATCCTGTGGCCCAATAAGAAAGCCAGGGCAGGGGCGCCTGGGTGGCTCAGGTGGTTCAGCATCCGATTTTGGCTCATGTCATGATCTCATGGTTCATGGGTTTGAGCTCTGCGACAGGCTCTGTGCTGATGGCTCAGAGCCTGGAACCTGCTTCGGATTCTGTGTCTCCTCTCTGTGCCCCTACCCTGCTCATGCTCATGCTCTGTCTCTGTCTCTCTCAAAACATAAAAAAAAAATTAAAGTAAAAATAATTTTCAAAGGGTTATTTTCATGGGCTCATTCTGTCAGCTCCAAGAAGCCATTTTTGACCGTAGTATTTATTTGGTAACCCAGGAGCCTTCCAACTGGAGAGATAGTCATCAGTTTGGTTTTGAAAGCAACAGCTGGATAGATAGCAATCATCATTAGAAACCTCCCTTAGTCTCCTGTTTTCTCCAGTCTGTCAGCCAAGTCCCCACCAGAGAGAGGGTTGGTTTAGAAGGTTTTTCTTCCCTGACAGCTGACCCAGCGAAGAGAACTGCTGATCACATATTTGCTTGAATGTCTGAATTTTTGTCACCTAAATTCACCTATGACCCCAGTAGGCTATTGAAAATCATCTCTAGGGGCGCCTGGGTGGCGCAGTCGGTTAAGCGTCCGACTTCAGCCAGGTCACGATCTCGCGGTCCGTGAGTTCGAGCCCCGCGTCAGGCTCTGGCTGATGGCTCAGAGCCTGGAGCCTGTTTCCGATTCTGTGTCTCCCTCTCTCTCTGCCCCTCCCCCGTTCATGCTCTGTCTCTCTCTGTCCCAAAGAAAATAAACGTTGAAAATCATCTCTGTAGGGGCACTTAGGCGGCTTAGTCGGTTAAGCATCTGACCTCGGCTCAGGTCATGATCTCGCAGTTCATGAGTTTGAGCCCCGTGCGGGGCTCTGTGCTGATGGGAGCCTGTTTCAGATTCTCCCTCTCTCTCTCTCTCTCTCTCTCTCTCTCTCTCTCTCTCAAAAATGAATAAATGTTAAAAAAAAATTTTTGTAAGAGAAAATCACCTCTGTTGCTTGGGGATCGTTTTCCCACCGTAATATATTTTCTTTCAACAGCAGGCTATGGGGTGAGTTTGGGGGGTAGCTTTCAGTGAAACAAGCAAACACAAGCCAGCTTGAATGTAAGATGTTGGTAACAGGCCTTTCTTAGTAAACAAGAGACGGAGAACTGGGAAGGCAGCTGCCAAGTTGTTCATTTCTGTTTCCACTATTCCAATTGTTCAGTGAAGAGCTTTGCAAATCCACATAGAAAAACTCTTTTTTTTTTTTTTTAATTACCCCT